GGCTTGTGTTTAAAAATCAACAAAGGAGATTTAAAACACATTTCTGAGCATTTGGGCCATGAGAAAGCAATTGCTAGGAATAGGAGTCTTTGTGGGTGAACATTATGATCTTAAGAAGCCTAAAGAAGGATTTTTTAGCTTTTCTGAGGATTGAGCTCATGTNTATATATATATATATATATATATATATATACATATACATATGTATATATATATATATTCAATAAGGATCGACTACTATACTATATGTTTTTATTTAAGATTAATAGGAAATTTTGTTTCATGATNTTACGAGGTATGTTCATTTTAGTCAATAGGGTAGGAGGTTTTAAATAAGACTTAATTATGTAGGGAGAATCCTAAAGGTTTTGATTGTGGGGGATTTTCTTGTTTAAGAAATTTTTAGAAAAAAGTAGTTACTCAGTCACTTTAGACAATGAAGCTCTCTCTCTCTCTCTCTCTCTCTCTCTCTCTCTCTCTCTTTATATATATATATACATATAAGTCTATACATATGTATATATATATATATATTCAATAAGGATCGACTACTATACTATATGTTTTTATTTAAGATTAATAGGAAATTTTGTTTCATGCTCGAGAATGAAATAAAAAAGTGAAATGCCTTTTAACTATAAGAATCTCAGCCTCACCACTTTGGAGTACCCATTGTTCCCTGGTTCTGGTTTCTAATTTTTTGANTTTTTCCATAAATTTACCTTAATACCATTGACCATTGGTTTTATCAACAAGAAAAAGTGAAAAACATAAAATAACTATTGTTTAATAATATATTTGAAGCTACTAAATTAAATATACATAGTTAGAAAAACACTTCATGTGTAAGTCAATAAATTGCAGGAATATAATGCCATCTTGACACAATATGGCATTTCCATGGCGATTACGTGTATTATTTTACATATACGTCTGATGGCAGATTCAATGCAACACATCCGTTCCTCTCCAAGGTGAGAAAAAGGGAATGAGCCATACAATCCTAAAATTAATTGAGCCTTTGTGTACCCAGGAAATAGCAGATGGACTTTTTGAGGCTTGTGTTTAAAAATCAACAAAGGAGATTTAAAACACATTTCTGAGCATTTGGGCCATGAGAAAGCAATTGCTAGGAATAGGAGTCTTTGTGGGTGAACATTATGATCTTAAGAAGCCTAAAGAAGGATTTTTTAGCTTTTCTGAGGATTGAGCTCATGTTATTCACTCTAGAGGTTTCAAGGGCAGGGAATTGATTGGCCTGTAAATTGAATTATGCACTTTTCTGTAATTGAAAAATATGCAGTTTTTCACTTCTCTGTGGTAGAGATTCAAACAGGAATTTCTTAATTATAATGCATTTTGTGCAATTATTTGAAAATAAGTAAGCCTTAAACAAGTGTACTTGTCTGACAAAAAAGAATCTAAGTTCTCATTAANTGTTATTCACTCTAGAGGTTTCAAGGGCAGGGAATTGATTGGCCTGTAAATTGAATCATGCACTTTTCTGTAATTGAAAAATATGCAGTTTTTCACGTCTCTGTGGTAGAGATTCAAACAGGAATTTCTTAATTATAATGCATTGTGTGCAATTATTTGAAAATAAGTAAGCCTTAAACAAGTGTACTTGTCTGACAAAAAAGAATCTAAGTTCTCATTAATTATATAGGTTGCTTAGAGTAAAACACTTAATGGTCCAAAATATTACCAAAAGTTCAATTTTTGAATGTTTAAGTTCAAAAGATTCATATTCTGGTTTTTTGATAAACTAGGAGGATTCTTGCCACTTACGAAAGTTATTACTCAGTCATTCTCAAACATGAGAATATCTGCTCAGACTTGGCTGGATTCATACATGCAATATCCTTTTTTCGCCAAATGATGGTGGGTTTGGTAACCAGGAAAAGCATTTCTGCNTTCTCAAACATGAGAATATCTGCTCAGACTTGGCTGGATTCATACATGCAATATCCTTTTTTCGCCAAATGATGGTGGGTTTGGTAACCAGGAAAAGTTTACAATATGTGGAAGCTTTGTCATTCTCTTTGATACAATTGCTCTTGCAAACAGAACAATACAAAAATGAAAATTACAAAATGATCTGTCTGCCGGATGATGTAATTGATTAGTGTTGTGAAAATAAAGAGCAAATCTTCTGAGATTCACATTCACCAACATCCAAGATGATGGATAAACAAAATATAAGTAAAAAGCGTGAAACCCTTCAAGCATTGGATACAAGTTCTGAAGATGGTTTATATTTGTTCATTTTGAACTCTTAACGACAGGTTCTGACCACAAAAAAAAAAAACCTCTTGACAACAGGGGAATGTATCGATGGAGAAGAACAGGAGAATCTATAGAAAAAAACACTGACATCCATAAATGAGTTAAATTCATATGAAAAAAAGGATCACATGGGATTGGAAATTGTCATGCTTTTATTGGGTGCTATCATTCCTATCCTTAAGTTTTATCATGACGCACCAGAATAAATTACATAGTCATCTGTATGACTAAGCTGGTGCCTACCCAACAGCTTCATTGCGAAATCTTTTATTGTATTTGTAAAGCAGCCTCACTAGATTATCAAGGATAAGATCAAGATTGGCTAGTTAAAACATTTGAGCATTGAAGCCAACTCAAGCTCGTCTCATTTGACAGCAAGTGCTAGAGCGAGCCCCAAAACGACTCAAGCAGCAGCTCATTTAGTTTTCTTGGCCTAATAGGTCACAGCTTTGGTGGTGATTCCAAAAGCACATAGCTAACTTTTGGCCATCCACTCTCTCTGAAAGGCTGGATTATATGTCCTAATCCTGAAGAAATGCCTTACATTATTAAACATTTTAATTGGAAAATAGCTTATAAGAACACTTATATGATAAGTCGAACAGAATATGTGGCAAACTTAGGAGGTTCAACAGGTAAACGATATTTCATATTTTTTGTTAGGCACCCTTTGCAAAATTGAGAAAGTGTAACATAATATATCTTAATTGGGACAAAAAGTATGGATTGCAACATTTCTGTGCCCAACTTAAAAGAGTCTTGGAAAGCTCTTCTGCATTAGGCTGTTTGGTTAATTTAGCCAATGGATTGGGATATCATATCCATATTAAAACAAAAAGTGTATAGGTTCTTTTCAGGCATGAATTGTTAAATGAAGGTTGTGTGTGCAGTGAACTGTTCTTTGTGTTCCTGTTGATAAGTTTTTATGTCTTTCGCATAGCCAAAACATTTTCCAAATTTTTGTTGGCTTATACTCTGAATTTCTGCGACTTTGTAGTGATTGTCGGGGAGATAGCTAATTTTGCTGCCTATGCATATGCTCCTGCGATTCTGGTGACTCCCCTGGGAGCTTTAAGTATTATTTTCAGGTATGGCACAGGATGACATCATGTGAAAATATTTCTCCAAAACCTTACCTGTATCTGTTAGACGTCCATTGAATACTTTCCTAAACTTTTTGTGCAGTGCAGTGTTAGCCCACTTTATTTTGGAAGAGAAACTGCATATCTTTGGTGTGGTTGGTTGTGTTCTTTGCTTAGTGGGATCTACCACTATTGTTTTGCATGCCCCACAAGAGAAAGTAATTAATTCTGTCAAGGACGTTTGGTACCTAGCAACAGAGCCAGGTATTTAAGGAGGCATACTGCAGTTGCCTGATTTCATTATCATTTCTTCAGAGATCTACTTTTTAGATACTTGGTTTCAGCAAGCACATTTGAAGCTTCTTGAGCTGTATTGCATTAATTAGATCAAATTGAAAAGGTCTATCTGAATTTTATAAAAGAACTCGCAGTAGGACCATGCAGGTGCCATGAACAACATAGAAGTTCTGAAATGTAGTGCATCAACTTTTCGAGTTGATAAACGATTTTTTATACAAAATCACCTGGAAATTGTATAATTTTAGACAGAACTACCATTAGAGTCTTTCAAATGTTTGTCAGATACCTACAGTACAAAGTCAGGTTATTATAGGGCATTGGAGTATGGCTGTCCCAATGTTTATTCTTGCTTTGTAATATTTTGTATTCATGAATGTGTTTCTTTGCTAAATTATCTTTTCATTTAAAGTTATGCAGTCTGGTTACCTCAAATTGACTAAGGAATTTTTTGTACAACAGGTTTCATTATCTACACTTGCATAATTTTGGTTCTGGTTGTCATCCTCATTTTCTGGTGTGTGCCACATTATGGGCAAAGCCATATGGTCGTATACATTGGAATTTGCTCTCTTACTGGCTCTCTTACGGTTTGTATAGATTTACACTTTTACACATCTATACCGTAGATATGCACCCCGTGGGTCTTATATGCTGGCTTCTCTTGTATGTAGGTTATGAGTGTTAAAGCTGTTGGAATAGCTTTGAAGCTGTCATTTTCAGGGTCTAATCAATTCATCTACTTTCAGACATGGTTTTTCACTGTCTTTGTGATCGTTTGCTGTCTTTTGCAGCTGAACTATTTGAACAAGGTGCTTGTGAAATCACTTTGAAAGAACAATTTGTTGCGAAGCAGGATATTGCCTCTCAAACAAAATTGAGAAAAATTTGATTACTGTAAATGATAGTTGCAAGCTCTTGACATTGTTCTTTACTTTTTTGCATTGTTTCACTGGTGAGAGATAGAGAGAGAGAGAGAGATGCCTTTCTCAAAAGTGCCACCACATGGCAGAATGAGGATAAGAGCGTTTAGGAGAACCATCTATGTTGTTCATTTTAAATAACGCAACTTTAAAGAGGCACACACACACAGATGCCTTTTTCAGAAATCTGTNAGAGAGAGAGATGCCTTTCTCAAAAGTGCCACCACATGGCAGAATGAGGATAAGAGGGTTTAGGAGAACCATCTTTGTTGTTCATTTTAAATAACGCAACTTTAAAGAGACACACACACACACAGATGCCTTTTTCAGAAATCTCTACCCATGGCTGAATCAGGAAAATAGGGTTTTAGGAGAATCATCTATTGTTTCACAACATAGAATCTGCAGTGGGATGCAAGTAAATGTTCAGTAGATCAGGACAAGGGGCATGATTCAAAATATCATTTGATACCGATATGAGTCAGCATCTTTCGATCCAATCCCGTTCCATTCTGTGTAAACCACGAGTTTCACACGATTTAGCCAAATTGTCAGAAGCGCCTCTGAATTGTCTGAATCTGACGAACTTTTTTGGAATGCAAGGATTTCAGCTTTTTGCCTTCTATATATTCAGGATGTTATTACTTGCTGCTTATTTTAGTTTATATACCTTTTGTCGGTACTGTCTTTATTTCTATACTGATGATGGTTAATCTTTATTTTTAATTATCTTTGCAGGCATTGGACACCTTTAAGACTGCTGTTATTTCTCCAGTGTACTATGTCATGTTTACAACCTTCACCATCTTAGCTAGCATGATCATGTTTAAGGTGATTAAATATGTATCTTAACTGTTTACTTTCAATGGTGATACTTTTCACTACACCAGTGCTAAGATCTGTTCTATTTACATGTGTTCAGAAATTTTGCTTTTTGATGATACCGAAATAATAATTTCCAGTAAGTCATGGGCCTAATAGCATTGGAACTCACACCATCAATACGAGTTTAGTAATTTCATATCCTTTTTAAGGTTAATCATAATTTTTACAACAACTATTCCATGCATAAATTGGTGGGTTACAAAATCTTTATCCTTCAGATCCTTTTGTCAACATAAACAAAGGTTCTGGCCAGGTGAATCAATGACCCAAAACATGCCAGTAACTAGGACTATAAACAGGTCAGGCTTTGCTTGCGAATGAATTACACTAGTTTGTTTGCACTAGAAAGACAAATTTTGCATTCTTATACTTCTTGTTGTGTCATTCATGTTTCTGAGGTGGATACAACTATATGAGTGAGCACTTATGTGGAGCTTCTAGATTAGTTGCACCGCAAATTGTGAATTCATCTATGATGACTATTGTCTTCATGTTTCTTAGGTTTGGAGTGAATTGACTACATTTATAGACCTTCTACCCTTGTTAACAACAAATAATTGTCTTTGAAGCTAACCGAGTATGCTGCAATAGAAATTGGCTCAAGATTATTGGGTTTACATTGTCCCAATTGCTGACGTCTGTTACAAATTGGATGGGAAATTGTGTTACTTTGCCCCTGGAATATGGGAATTAGTTCCCCTTTGCCCCCAAAATCTAATGGCACATGGTGATGTAGGACAGCAGCAGAAAATCAAAATAGGGACCGTTTAGGAGCTGTGAACAGTATGGTACTGTTCACAGTAACTTGAATCGTAACTTTGACTAGGAATCACTCCTAGAGTTTCTTAGCCATCACACAACTCAAGAAGCATATAATTGCTGAAATTTATTTCTCTATATTTTATTAAAAGTAACACTAACTATATATAAAGTTCTAAATGCTCTTAATCCCAAAAGATTAGAATTTCAAAGTTTCTAGGACTCCAAAAACTCTAGGTCCCTAAAAATTAGAAAACTAAAATTAACTAGAACTAGGACTTTAAATTTTAGAATATTCAACACTAGAATTTGACACAAAAATATGACCCATTTTAGAAATTCTAGAAATTACAAAAATATCCTTAACTCTAAAAATTATTAAAAAGACATATAAAATAATAATACTAACAAATTGACTCAAAATACAATAATACAAGACTTCATATGGATCTTTGTCTTGATGACAAGCCAATTCCATTATTTTTCACATCTTTGAATTTATGTTTTCTTGAGCATCTCATGGATTGCATCACATGGGTATTTTCCATGCAAGACACAATTGATGTTAGATTTTACAGCTACGTGAAACCAATTTAAGTAGATGAGAGGGCAAAGGAGAAACTCAAAAGTAGAGGGGTAAAGTGGGATCAAGGCTATAAGAGTGTAAAGTATAATTTGGCCTTGGTTGTTTTAGATTTTACCCAGGAATTTTCTCACTGTATTAGTCAGTGAGGTCTTGAAGTCACTACCAGATTCGTTCACATTAATTGACAATGCTGAGGGGGATAAGTCAAACATTTGGCATTGTCCTTGCACTGTGGCTGTCCACAGATTCATGACTCCTTTTTGAAGAAACAAACATTCTACAGTCAAGCTACAGCTTGTTCTGTTCCAATTTTATTCAGAGAATTTTTAATAAGAGTTTTGTTCCTTTTATAAGAAGGTCTCTGACATTGGATTTCACAGATTGGACTTCTAAAAAATCATAAATTTTACAGCCAAGTTGCAGCTTGTTGCTGCACCAAGTTTATTCATGGATTTTTTAGCAAGAACTTCTTTTTTCCATTTGTAAAAAGAAGTGATCCGAAATTGGATTTCACCATTTTTATTGCTTAGTGTACCCTATAAGTTCTTGATAGAATCATATGCTTGTATGTGGTCTTGTATCGGTGTCCACATAGTTCCTTGAGGACAAATGAGTTTGATTTATTAGTCTCTTCGTTATTTCCTTTTTTTTTCTTTACTGTTTTCATGTTTGAATCCTATCTCTACTTTTGAAATTTCATAGCTCTTTGCCTCAAATACAGGATTGGGACCACCAAAATGCATCCCAGATTGTAACTGAACTGTGTGGCTTTGTGACTATCCTCTCTGGGACTTTTATTCTACACAAAACCAGAGATATGGGTGACAGTCCAACGTCGGGAGTCCCTGTCTTTTCACCTCAAAACATTAACATAGCCTTGACTTCCAGACAGTCAGAGATTTGAAATATGCTGGCATTGTTTCTAGTCATTCAGTCACATTGCAAATGAAAGATGCTTTGAAAATCCGGAGAGGGGCATCATCATAGGAGCAGAACATATCTGTATTCTTGATTAAGCAAGAATGTAAGTTGGAAAGCTGGAAGGAAATGAGAAGAAAACCATCTCATCGGTGCTCATGAGATATAAAGATGTGCTCTGATACTACAAAAAAATTTCATACTAACCAGTAGATTAAGCATCTTCACAAGTTCTCTTTTTTTTTTTCTCTTTTTCTATGAGTATTATGCAATTTGTAGGATATTTGAGACAGATTTAGAAGGTGAATATGTCGTATACACATGAATGCTATGGGGTGCTTGTTGAAAAAAAAAAAATATATGGTTGCCGATGAAGGCAAGAAAGTAGATTCACTCTCTCTCTCTCTCTCTCTCTCTCTCTCTCTCTCTCTCTCTCTCTCTCTCTCCACACGATTTGTATAGTATCTAATTAGAATACAGTTCATATATGGCACGAAAAATCAAACATGATCATGTAACAGGTTTAATTTACAAATCGTGTTCATTTCATGAGTGCACCCCTTCAATCAATAAAAACCGTCATAGGTCCACCACAATATAAATTTAGAAAGATTATAGAAGTAAGTTTGATAGGGAATCTCTTCCCTTTTTTTTTTTTAAATTTCTCGATTACTTCACAAATCATGATCGGGGGACCCCACTTAAAAAAAGTGGACTNGATCATGTAACAGGTTTAATTTACAAATCGTGTTCATTTCATGAGTGCACCCCTTCAATCAATAAAAACCGCCATAGGTCCACCACAATATAAATTTAGAAAGATTATAGAAGTAAGTTTGATAGGGAATCTCTTCCTTTTTTTTCTTTTAAAAAAATTTCTCGATTACTTCACAAATCATGATTGGGGGACCCCACTTAAAAAAAGTGGACTATATATATATATATAAATTAATGGTGATAGTTGAAGATAATTCTTTATGCATTAAATTTGTACAGCAAAATTTGCACCAAATCAAATGTAGTCGTTGGATTAGTGATAGGACCCATTGATCCAACGACAATAAGTGATTTGGTGCAAATTTTGGTATACATTTTTGGTGTACATAGCATTGTCGGATAATTTATCTTTGGTTGGAAGAAATTAGGATAAATTACATTTTAACCCTCTTAACTATGATATTTTTCTTATATTGTCCCCTNATATATATATATATATAAATTAATGGTGATAGTTGAAGATAATTCTTTATGCATTAGATTTGTACAGCAAAATTTGCACCAAATCAAATGTAGTCGTTGGATTAGTGATAGGACCCACTGATCCAACGACAATAAGTGATTTGGTGCAAATTTTGGTATACATTTTTGATGTACATAGCATTGCCGGATAATTTATCTTTGGTTGGAAGAAATTAGGATAAATTATATTTTAACCCTCTTAACTATGATATTTTTCTTATATTGTCCCATAAATTATCATATTTATCATATTATTATTAATTTCATATTGTCAAAATGATTAACGTTCATTGTAAATATGACTATGATATTTTTCTCTTCTTTTTTCTCTCTTTCGCTATAAGTATTGTGCAATTTGTAGGATAATTGAAACAGATTTAGAAGGTGAATATACAGAGTACACATGAATGCTATGCAAGGGCGGAGCCACGCTTGGACTAGGGTGGACACATACCACCCCCCCCCCCAATTTTTTTTTGCTTTATATTAGTTATGTATTTTTGAAATAAAATTTAGACATATTTAATTGTGTTCACCCTAATATTATATTTAATATTAATTTGAATAGTCCCTTACCTAAATGATTATTAACTTTTTGGACAATATTATTAAAACCTAATTTAAGGACCTAATACATTACAATATTAAGTATAATAGTAAGTCTTAATATTTAATAAATTTTACTATCTATCCAATGGTCACAAATCATTGGATCTCCATCAATTAAATCATAAATTATATGCAACTAATATTATTGTTAACTTTTAGATATGTTTCAGACATATCCGAATATGTTTTGAACATATTGATGTTATTTTATAATTTTCTAAAATTATAGGGTTATTTCATTATTGTATAAAAATGTATCTCTTTATGTAGTAAACTATAAGATCATAAATAATGTTACCACGATTTTATATATAAAAAAAATATTGTTGATAAAATTAATTTGTAATTTTTTCAAATAATAAAATCATATCAGGGTCAATTGTAAGGGAGAATAATTAGGCGCATTCTCGATAAAAAATTTTAATTATTATTTTTTTGTTCTTATTATGTATATTGAGTTTTATTCTTTTATGTTTAAAAAGTATTAAATATATGTCAATAAATATAAATTTATGAACTTTTATAGTCTATTTAAAAAAAAAAAATTAAAACACGCTAAACTTTTTTCCTCGCTCAGCCCACGATGCTATGGGTTGTTTGTTGAAAAAAAATATATGGTTACTTACCGATGAAGGCAAAAGGGTAAATTCATTCTCTCTCTCACTCACACACACACAACACACTCACACTTGGTGTACAACCAATAGAATGATCCAACATTCTTCTTTCCTCTTTTTTTTTTTTCTCTCTTTTTTCAGATTGATCCTCCTTCTCTTTCTTTTAGTGAATTCTGCAGCAAATTTGGGCTGCACGGCATATTCTGGATTCTTCTTTTGGTTGAAAGCACAGAACTTAGCCTTTTCAAAATGTTGGAGTCACATCGCCAATTTGGATGCAAAATTTTGAGCCTTAGTTCTATGTATAATAGTTTTTCGTCGGACTCTGATCGTGTCTCGAACACCTCTCAAAATTAAACTTAACTAGGTTAGTATAGCAGCTAATCATCAAATCATAATGGAGACTTCAGCACTCAAACTCTCAACCTCTAGGTGAAGAGTAAGGTGGATACCAACACTAAACTACCCTACTNAATATATGTCAATAAATATAAATTTATGAACTTTTATAGTCTATTTAAAAAAAAAATTAAAACACGCTAAACTTTTTTCCTCGCTCAGCCCACGATGCTATGGATTGTTTGTTGAAAAAAAAAAATATATGGTTACTTACCGATGAAGGCAAAAGGGTAAATTCATTCTCTCTCTCACTCACACACACACACACACAACACACACACAACACACTCACACTTGGTGTACAACCAATAGAATGATCCAACATTCTTCTTTCCTCTTTTTTTTTTTTTTCTCTCTTTTTTCAGAATGATCCTCCATCTCTTTCTTTTAGTGAATTCTGCAGCAAATTTGGGCTGCACAGCATATTCTGGATTCTTCTTTTGGTTGAAAGCACAGAACTTAGCCTTTTCAAAATGTTGGAGTCACATCGCCAATTTGGATGCAAAATTTTGAGCCTTAGTTCTATGTATAATAGCTTGTCGTCGGACTCTGATCGTGTCTCGAACACCCCTCGAAATTAAACTTAACTAGGTTAGTATAGCAGCTAATCACCAAATCATAATGGAGACTTCAGCACTCAAACTCTCAACCTCTAGGTGAAGAGTAAGATGGATACCAACACTAAACTACCCTATTCGTTAGGTTATATATTATTTACATTTTTAGAGATTTTGTTGATAAACGGAAACCTCGTGCACTACAACGTTGCGTAGAATCAAATTAGAATACAAATTAGAATACATTGCACCCCTTCGATCAATGAAAATGGCCATAGGTCCACCATGGTATAAGAAAATTATAATATATTACACTTTAACTCTCTTAATTATTACCTNAGCATATTCTGGATTCTTCTTTTGGTTGAAAGCACAGAACTTAGCCTTTTCAAAATGTTGGAGTCACATCGCCAATTTGGATGCAAAATTTTGAGCCTTAGTTCTATGTATAATAGCTTGTCGTCGGACTCTGATCGTGTCTCGAACACCCCTCGAAATTAAACTTAACTAGGTTAGTATAGCAGCTAATCACCAAATCATAATGGAGACTTCAGCACTCAAACTCTCAACCTCTAGGTGAAGAGTAAGATGGATACCAACACTAAACTACCCTACTCGTTAGGTTATATATTATTTACATTTTTAGAGATTTTGTTGATAAACGGAAACCTCGTGCACTACAACGTTGCGTAGAATCAAATTAGAATACAAATTAGAATACATTGCACCCCTTCAATCAATGAAAATGGCCATAGGTCCACCATGGTATAAGAAAATTATAATATATTACACTTTAACTCTCTTAATTATTACCTTTTTTCTCATATTGTCCCTTAAATTATCATATTTCTCATATTGTCCCTTAATTATCATATTTCTCATATTGTTTCCTCAATTATGTTGTTAATTTTACATTGTCAAATAATTAACTTTCGCTGCAAATTCGATGAAAATTTATTTTAGTTTATTCCCTAAACATTTGCTCAAACTGTTACAAGTTCTCTAATTCAATGTACATCCCAAGCTTCGTAAGACAATTCTTCACGTTAACGACTTTCGTCCAAAGTTAATGAACGTTTGCATTTGGGGGAATGAAAAATCAATTCAAGTAATTGAGGGGATACTATGAAAAAATCTAATAGTTCAATAGACAAAATAAAATTAAACGGGGTGGAAATGTAATTTACCCAAAAAAAATATCTGAGGAGTTTTTCTGCTTGCCGCATAAAAACTCACAACATAACCGCTGCAAACCAGCAATTTCCCACCTTTGCCCCAAAACAATCTCCGAAATCCCTTGCCAAGTCCCCAACAAGTCCACTTTCTCAACCCAATTTCCCTCATTTTGTATGTCACCTTCCCGAGAAAATTCTCTCTCTCCAGAGCACCCAATCACTCCCATGACCCTTTCCCCTCTAATCTTACCCTCCAAACCCTGACCACCCATCAAAGACTTCTCTTCAAATCTCTCCCACAAGGTGAGTACTCACTAGTTCTCTTGTCTTGTACATAAATATTTCCTTTTCTTGAATTGGGTTCTCTTGAATATATATGTTAGTTTGTTATGTATGCGATCGGTTGTTATTGAATTAGAGACAGTAGTCGTAGGATTGATGATGCTTCCTCCAAGAAGGAAGAAGTGGACAGAGGCTGAAGAAAGAACCCTAATAGACAAGTATGGTGCAATGATTTGTGATGGAACTTTATCTAAAATGAGAACTAGAGAGAAAAAGTATAAGCCAATTGCCTTATATGTTAATTCTATGCATCATGTTCGCGACCCAATTTCGTATCCATGGCAATGGACTTGGAAGGATGTATCAACTAAAGTACAGAACATGAGGCATCAGTATGCATTGGTGAAGCAGAAGATTAAAAAACCCGAATCAGTGGGTGATTCAGGGGGGGAGGAGTTCGATTGGATGGAGGGGCTTACGCATTGGTCAAACTTTCTTAGGTATAAGGAGGTGTTTGGGGATGTGGCACTTGCATTTAGTGGTAATGATTCGATAGCTGTTGGTGGTAATGATGAAAATGGTGGCGGGTTTGATGGAAGCAGTCATGGCATAGAGATTGTGCAATTTGGGCATCTGGGTCAAGTTGGGGAGGGTGATTTTGCCAATGGGATTGATGGAGTAGATAATGGGATTGTGGGTTTAGAGTTTGACTATGATGGGGAGGAAGGAGAGGAGGATTACAATGCTGGTAATAAGAATAGTAATCTCATGAAGGATGATGGAGATGATGGATTTGTTTATGAAGACATTGAGCCAACTGGGTCTAATGCAAAGAAGAAGAGGAAAGTGTTGAAGGGATTGGGGAAAAGGGCTTGGGGTTTTCTTGCAAATCAGTTGAGGCACTTGAGGGAAATGGAAACTCGGTTTGAGCAGCGTGAGGCAGAGAGAGAGCGAGAGAGGCAGAGGAGAGACGAATTTCGGATGGAAATGGAGCAGGAACGTGAACGGAAATTGGAAGAGAGGGAAAAAGAGAGGGAAGAGAGGGAGAAAGATAGGGAGAAATTGAGGAGGCAGTGGATTCTAGAATTGGAAGCTATGGAGGAGGAGGCCGAAGAGAGAGAACGAAGCAAAAGAGAGAAAACGTTGATTTCTGAGAGGGAATGGGATGAGAGGATGAACCGGAGGAGATCAGAGTGGAAGAAGAGAATTGACGAGATGTTGAGTCAGCACCGAACAGAAATGAGCCAGTTGCAGACTCGGATTCTTCACGAACAACAGAACCTTACTAATCAGTTGGTTGGAATTGTTTCCCAGTGGACTGGTCATCCAACTGGGATTTCTGATCACACTGGAGCGAGCAGTCATTATATTTCACAGATGATTCAGAACTTGCACCATGTGAACGATATTGTTCATGATGATTCCAGAGTTGTCGGGGATCATCAAGAAGATCAATTCATTGTCGATGGATGATATTGGTTCCGCTCTACTAATTTCTTTAGAGGGAGAAATTTAAAGGGGCATGCAAAATCACATGATTCGGAAGAAGTGTAAAGGTTAGAGATGTTTTTTCGTTCTTTATTTGTGGTCTTATTTTTTACTGGTTGGTTATTGTCAGTTTTAGTTCAATAAGAGGTGTGGATTGTCCTTCCTCAATTTTAATGGAACTGTTGTTGAGTTGTTTCTAGATTGCCCTGTCTTTGAAGAATTATAACACCACACAGAATGTGTCTTTTCTCTTTTTCCTGTTATTTTATGCCAAATGAGAGACAGAAACAAAAAACTCATCAAGTAAACAGACTAAATTAAAATTAAGTGAAAAATAAAGGTTTCAGCCCTTCAGGAATTTAGCTGTTTTCAGGTAAAGCATTTCGATGGTCATTCATAATCTGCATAGGTAGATAAGAAGGAAACTCCCCATAATACACTATCAACAGTACAAGTGACAATGGACACCTGCTGCTGTGACTGCCTTCAACACTGTAATAAGTGCGGCTTTGGCTTGTGGGATACTTTGTAACTTTTTTTCCAGCTCGTGAGTACCTGCTGTAATTGAAATTTGAGTAATGTGTAACTGACAAGTTTAGCAAGAACATTTGCAACTTAATTTCTGAAACTTTCCGGAACCATCTCTCTTTTCTTTTGGTTTTCATACCTGCGTGGGAGTTCGATTCATCTTTTAGTACTATGATAATGTGCTATAGTAACTGAATTCTTAGGTATTTTAAGACATAATGTTGTTTGCTTCACTTTGTCATAGGTTCAAGTCATGTAAACAGTCTCCTNTCCGGAACCATCTCTCTTTTCTTTTGGTTTTCATACCTGCGTGGGAGTTCGATTCAACTTTTAGTACTATGATAATGTGCTATAGTAACTGAATTCTTGGGTATTTTAAGACATAATGTTGTTTGCTTCACTTTGTCATAGGTTCAAGTCATGTAAACAGTCTCTTTACACTCGGGATAAAGTTATGTGCTCCTTATATCTGCAGTAGTAAGTGTCTTGTGCATTGGACTGTTTTTTTATACTTGTCTACTCAGAAACAGGAACATTCTTTATTTACAAGGTAATTTGCCATAGTTGTTCCAAATCTGCCTATGCACTTCCTCCCAATCTACTGTGTTTGTATCTCAGCATCTGTCTCTTAATACAGGTAAAGAGCAGTTGACTTGGCGAAAAACATATTTATATTAAGCTACCATCTAACTTCCCTTCTAAATGTAAGTCTTAATGTCCAAATGTTTTTGACACAATACACTAATAAATTAAATCACACATCGAGTTAGAGAGTTTGAATCGACACTAATGGTAATAGTATTTTAAACGGTGTGACATGCTTAATGTGAAAATATGAACATGTGTCATGTGAAGCATCTCTCTCTCTCTCTCTCTCTCTCTCTCTCTCTCTCTCTCTCTATATATATATATATATATATATATATAAAAGATGGAGAAGAGAGGTAGAAATACTAAGGGGGAGCAATTAGTTTTGTGTGAAGAAAATGGCAAAACCTAAAGGAAACAGGAAGTAGTGCTCATTTCCAGCCCCTGATGTGGAAAGAGTTGAATCCACAACAAAAAATTTGAGGTTGATCCTGTATCATCGCAGGTGGCTCGTTGCACATAGGTTAAGCTATTTTTTGTTATTATTTCTTCAATATAAAGTTTTATTTTTTTGAACTCCAACGAAAAACTCAAGTGGTAACCAGGACGAGTCGTAAATTCAAACGTTTTGAATTTGAATCTTAACAAGTCATGAAGAATTTATCCTTTATGAATACCTTAATTCAGGCGTAGATGGTCTGTCTTTGACCAAACTGAGGAAAAGATTAATCAAGGTGTACATAAACTAACTCGAACACTCCTGACCATTGAACTAAAAAAAAAAAAAAATTATTTCTTTGAAACCATGGTACCAAAAAAATAAATATATACCTTCATGTTTTGTTTTAAAATAAATTATACTTTGCACCCAAAAGAATTTTAAATTTTTCTCTTTATCGCGTGAAAGATTAAAAATATTGTATTGCATCTTGAATTTCGTTGACTGACTAGGAAAAAAGGATCAAAAACAGGACACTATTATATTAATATTGCATCATTTACTCCTTGTTTTGGTACCCTTTTTTAGTCGGTCTAACATTAATGGTGAATTATTGTTAATAGTTTGTCTTTGAAAAGACGAAATGAAAAGTTCAAATTATTTTAAAAGAATTACATTTTTACCCTGTAAAATTCAAGAATTCTCATTTTGTTTTGTCTGAAAATTTGAATAACACATGGATATTTCTGTCCATAACAAAACAAACACTTTAATTTTGAGACATTATAAAATTAATTTAAGTAATTAAAGATGCAATATGAGAAACTTGAAAATAAATGGGAAAAAATTTGATCGGAACCATATCTTACAAGGACAAAAAGTAATTTGCCCCAAGTGGAAAATATCAGCAATACTATGTATGGGCTTCTTCTATGTTGTTTCTAGTTCAATAATTGCTAACAATGTTCAAATGTTTTCACTGAAGGACCAATTAGAAGCAGCCAAAAACCAGAAAGAAACAGGAAAGCACTACACAATGCGAAAGGAGAATTGAATCATATACACATGGAGAATTGAATTATTTGTACTATTTTGTCAGCCGCGTTATTTATAACATCTTTTTGGAAAACATCAACGTCCATCACACCTGGTCGAATCAGGTAGTACTTGGACAAATCTTGCATGATTTCATGGGAGACAAAAAATAAAAAAAAAATCAACAGATAATGTTGTAAACATATTATCAAATTCAAACTTAGATGATCATACAAAGAGTAAGGCATAAACTCACAAATATTGAGAGAGTAACTCCCCGACTCTATAAAAAATTGATTGATTTTAATGTAAACACGCAATATGTATTTGAGTAACTATATATGAAATTTGTGTTACAGTCCGTACGTGTTTAGGACAATTCTTCGTTACAAAATATAACNGGTAGTACTTGGACAAATCTTGCATGATTTCATGGGAGACAAAAAATAAAAAAAAATCAACAGATAATGTTGTAAACATGTTATTAAATTCAAACTTAGATGATCATACAAAGAGTAAGGCATAAACTCACAAATATTAAGAGTAACTCCCCGACTCTATAAAAAATTGATTGATTTTAATGTAAACACGCAATATGTATTTGAGTACCTATATATGAAATTTGTGTTACAGTCCGTACGTGTTTAGGACAATTCTTCGTTACAAAATATACCTTCAGCTGCGTGGTGAATGTTGAAAAATTTATACTCAGCACCATGTGTTTAAAGTTTTTCTGATCTAAGCACCATGGCTTGGATTGGAATCACAAACAAACTGGTCTGCATATAAGAGTAAGAATATATACATTTAATCCTCCCCAAATACTACAATGATGGAAATCTAGTGCATTAGACCATTTTTTTTTTGGCCCAGAGCTGAGTTGTCAATTGTCATCAACCAAATTAGTGTCACTAATCCATCAAAAAAAGAAATTCAAAAAGTAGAGGGAACATGATACCCTACCCNCTTGGATTGGAATCACAAACAAACTGGTCTGCATATAAGAGTAAGAATATATACATTTAATCCTCCCCAAATACTACAATGATGGAAATCTAGTGCATTAGACCAATCATCAGGCCCCTCTACTGCAAAAAAATATATATATATATATTGGCACACAGACAAACAGGATCTCATTATTGGAAGTACAAGTACAAAACTACATCAAATAGTGAAAATGAAAGGATGTCCTCACAAAATGATAATAGCAGTCATTTTTCAGTTGTCATCAGATTGGAGTTCCGCTCGCATTTGTCGAACAAGTATTTCTTCAATGGCATCCACAAAGCTTGAGAGATTCTGCTGTATGTGTCCATCCAAAGAGTTTGCCTCTTCCTGATGTTTCAGATTAACAGCCAAAGGAAAATATATTAATAATTGTCAACCAAATTTCTAATCATCCCTATTTTGGTGTTCTGAAACTAAGCGTGGGTGAAATAAAAATGAAACAAATGTGTGACAAAACAAGAAAAGAGAGAATTAAAAATGAGTATATTCATAAAATCGTACAAGTTAAGACCAATAGGAGATAAATTAAAAAGAAAATCACTTAAATGGCTATGGTAATTGAAAAGTACATGTAAACCAAAAATAACCCTAAAATGAGATATTAAAAAGATATAATAGCTAGTGTTTTGACAATATGACCCTTTGTAAAGCACAATGAAGAAATAGCAGTCATGTAGCCCACTCAAATAGTTGAAATAAGGCTTTACTGAGCAGAGTTGCATTGAGCAAATCTTGGTTTTCATAAATTTTGAAAACCCAAGTAGAAAGTACCAAATCAAGGATCCAGGAGGGAAATAAACACTTGTAGAATCTAAGTCGAACAATAGACCATACACAGTCCATTGAACCGTGCACAAAGATATTATTACCATGGATCAAGACTCAAGAGAGACTGTCAATGAGATTGATAGGACTCAAAATTCAACCAACATTTCAAGTAGATATTAATAGAATTCTCTCTTCTACTTTCACATTATTTGACCAACTCCTCAGTTCAATATGCAATCAAATTCAATGCATAACTTTAAAGACAATGGAATCATACTTTCAATAATTCCAAGGAGATGTCTAATATATTCATGCTCCTCAAACAAAATCTTTCATACAAAGGTCACATTATGTAGCATGTGACCTTCAAGCTACTGTGGCACACTATTGCCCACCTTGGAATAAAAGCTCTGAAGAGTACCCTTTCTTTGTGCCTGAGTCATAATACATGAGATTGCCAAACCGTGGGGACCTAATGATGATATGTTACATATAAGTTGTAACTTGTAACAACCTTTTATCATATTTTAGTCTGTAATTTAGGAATATTTCCCCTCAGATCGTTATGAACCACAACACAAGCCTCCAGCTGCAGTTTCCCATTTTGCATTATCAAATTTCTAAGATACAAATACCTTGGCATTTCTAAGATTGCTATTTTTACTTAAAGCCGATTGCCAGCTAGAAAGGTCTAATAAGGCCTAGGTACCCTAAAATACTTCCCTTTTAAAAGTATATTATACACTCTTGGAATTTCTATTGGTTGTCCTAAATAATA